CTAGAGACTAACCACGAGTCAGCTGAAACACTAGAGACTAACCACGAGTCAGCAGAAACACTAGAGTCTAACCACGAGTCACTGAAACACTAGAGACTAACCACGAGTCAGCAGAAACACTAGAGACTAACCACGAGTCAGCAGAAACACTAGAGTCTAACCACGAGTCAGCAGAAACACTAGAAACTAACCACGAGTCAGCAGAAACACTAGAGTCTAACCACGAGTCAGCAGAAACACTAGAGACTAACCACGAGTCAGCAGAAACACTAGAGACTAACCACGAGTCAGCAGAAACACTAGAGTCTAACCACGAGTCACTGAAACACTAGAGACTAACCACGAGTCAGCTGAAACACTAGAGACTAACCATGAGTCAGCAGAAACACTAGAGACTAACCACGAGTCAGCAGAAACACTAGAGACTAACCACGAGTCAGCAGAAACACTAGAGTCTAACCACGAGTCAGCAGAAAAACTAGAGACTAACCACGAGTCAGCTGAAACACTAGAGTCTAACCACGAGTCACTGAAACACTAGAGACTAACCACGAGTCAGCAGAAACACTAGAGACTAACCACGAGTCAGCTGAAACACTAGAGTCTAACCACGAGTCACTGAAACACTAGAGACTAACCACGAGTCAGCTGAAACACTAGAGACTAACCATGAGTCAGCAGAAACACTAGAGACTAACCACGAGTCAGCTGAAACACTAGAGTCTAACCACGAGTCACTGAAACACTAGAGACTAACCACGAGTCAGCTGAAACACTAGAGACTAACCATGAGTCAGCAGAAACACTAGAGACTAACCACGAGTCAGCAGAAACACTAGAGTCTAACCACGAGTCACTGAAACACTAGAGACTAACCACGAGTCAGCTGAAACACTAGAGACTAACCATGAGTCAGCAGAAACACTAGAGACTAACCACGAGTCAGCAGAAACACTAGAGACTAACCACGAGTCAGCTGAAACACTAGAGTCTAACCACGAGTCAGCAGAAACACTAGAGACTAACCACGAGTCAGCTGAAACACTAGAGTCTAACCACGAGTCACTGAAACACTAGAGACTAACCACGAGACAGCAGAAACACTAGAGACTAACCACGAGTCAGCTGAAACACTAGAGTCTAACCACGAGTCACTGAAACACTAGAGACTAACCACGAGTCAGCTGAAACACTAGAGTCTAACCACGAGTCACTGAAACACTAGAGACTAACCACGAGTCAGCTGAAACACTAGAGACTAACCATGAGTCAGCAGAAACACTAGAGACTAACCACGAGTCAGCTGAAACACTAGAGTCTAACCACGAGTCAGCAGAAACACTAGAGACTAACCACGAGTCAGCTGAAACACTAGAGTCTAACCATGAGTCAGCAGAAACACTAGAGACTAACCACGAGTCAGCAGAAACACTAGAGACTAACCACGAGTCAGCTGAAACACTAGAGACTAACCATGAGTCAGCAGAAACACTAGAGACTAACCACGAGTCAGCAGAAACACTAGAGACTAACCACGAGTCAGCTGAAACACTAGAGACTAACCATGAGTCAGCTGAAACACTAGAGACTAACCACGAGTCAGCAGAAACACTAGAGACTAACCACGAGTCAGCTGAAACACTAGAGACTAACCATGAGTCAGCTGAAACACTAGAGTCTGACCATGAAATAATAAAAACTGAATTATGATCCTCTGCAGGGTTTCAGGTCTGCACTCAGTGCCAGAGGGAGACTCCAGGACTGACTCTGCAGAACCTCCAGGATCCTGATCCCGGAGGACCTCCAGGACCCTGATCACTGAGGACCTCCAGGACCCTGATCCCTGAGGACCTCCAGGACCCTGATCCCTGAGGACCTCCAGGACCCTGATCACTGAGGACCTCCAGGTCCCTGATCCCTGAGGACCTCCAGGACCCTGATCCCTGAGGACCTCCAGGACCCTGATCCCTGAGGACCTCCAGGACCCTGATCCCGGAGGACCTCCAGGACCCTGATCACAGAGGACCTCCAGGACCCTGATCCCAGAGGACCTCCAGGACCCTGATCACAGAGGACCTCCAGGACCCTGATCACAGAGGACCTCCAGGACCCTGATCACAGAGGACCTCCAGGACCCTGAGTAAAGTAATAAATATAACTGAATACAGATATATTAATAAATATATATGAATAATGAAAGTGAGACCGGTGAGGTGTTCATGGGTTCCTTGTTCCTATATTAAATATTGATATATTATATACACACCTTTCACTGAGTTACCTGGGAGACAAGGACACCTGAACGCACCGCTAAACCCAAAGGATTGTGGGAAACTGAGTTGCCCTTTGACCTGTTCAGTGATTCTGAATCAATCTGATATTATATACACAGTCAAATATAACATTTATATACAGTGATTGTATGAGGTGTAATTATTGTTATTGATGGTTTCTGATGAACAAACCGCTGCTACTGGATATTAAAGAAACTTTAAAGATATTTGTATTAATTGTTTTTGTTTAATCTGCATCTCAACAATAAAATAACACGTTATGAATAATTGACACCGTGTGCGTCTCACCCTGGAGTCTGGATCTGAAAGTTATATGAGATATTCTAATAATAACATTTGTTCCTCCTGGGTCTAGTCACTCAGAATGAAGCGTGTGTCAGGAAGGAGTCAGGAATCTGAGGAGAACACGATGATGCAAAACAGATCAGCTTTCATTAAATACGCTCTTTATTAACACAATTACTCGTGATGACGTTTCGTCTCATTTAACTCTTGTTAGCCACCTAAATCACCAGTGGGGGATAGACTGACGTAGGAGAACACGTTGAAGTCTCTGCAGCTCGTGGTAACCACAGACCTGATTTCAGACTAATAACCAAAAACACATCCAGAAACCATTGACCTCCAGACCAGGGGACAGGAAGTGAGTTGGTGTTAGCATGTTAGCATGAGTCTCTCCTTGTTCACAATAAAAGCAGCAGTCAGATGAGTTGGGGGGGGGGTTATGACATCACTCTGGCCTCTGAATCACTGGGGGGGGGGACATGTTGTCTTTATTCAGCGACCTGTGGTTTGGGGTTCAGTGTTTTATTTAGAAGATGTTCCAGTCTGCAGACGTGTGTCCGTCTACTTCCTGTTCATGCAGCTGCACTTCCTGTCAGCTGATCAGTGACCTGGGATCAGAGCTTCCTGTTCCGGTCTTGGGACAGGAAGTGACCTCCAGTCATAATCAAGTATAAATCAACATTAACATGAATCGGTCCCATGCTAGCGTTAGCCTCCGTGGCTAGCCGGACAGTCTTTACCCATAATGCCGCGGGCCGGCGTCAGTGTGCAGGTCTGCGCCGGCCGTCGTACCGATGGATCTGATTGGGCTGCCCTCAGCGAGAGGGGCTAGGCGGGCTGCAGCGGCACGCAGCCCACCCCCACCCCCCCCTCGTGAGACACCATGGGGGCCATGAAGCTCCAGCGGGGGGGGGTCGGAAGTGTAGACCTCCACAGAGCCCAGGTTGGACTGCCCGTCGTACCCCCCCACAGCGAAGAGGCGCCCGGCGGAGGCCACCAGAGAGACTCTGCTGCGCCGCGTGTTCATGGCCACCAGGGGGCGCCACTGCCCCCCCCGAGAGTCGAACACCTCCGCCCCGCTCAGGAAGCCCGAGCCGTCGTACCCCCCCGCCACGAACATCATGCTGCCGAGCGCCGCCGCGCCGTGCCGGCAACGCTTATTCAACATGGCCGCCGCCGGGTGCCAGCGGTCCGTGTGGTGGTTGTAATACTCCACCTGCACACATGTTATTACACACGTTATTATCCACCTGCACACATGTTATTACACACGTTATTATCCACCTGCACACATGTTATTACACATGTTATGTGTGTGTGTGTGTGTGTGTGTGTGTGTGTGTGTGTGTGTGTGTGTGTGTGTGTGTGTGTGTGTGTGTGTGTGTGTGTGTGTGTGTGTGTGTGTGTGTGTGTGTGTGTGTGTGGTAAAAGGAGAGACTGACCGTGTTGAAGATCTGCAGACCGTCATGGCCGCCGGACACGAAGATGCGTCCGTCGAACACCGTGACGCCGGCAGCGCTGCGACTCGCACTCATCTCCGCAACCAGCGTCCATCTGTATACACACATTTATTATTATTATGACACTACATATATGATATAATGTATAGTATCGGCCACCAGCACCACCTGTTAGATAGTATACAAATAATATTTTACAGCATGTGTATTTTACAATAATAATTAAATGTATATAGATCAGAAACATTATAAAGTATGAAGTGAATTTATAATATATATTGAACGTATTTATGCTGACTCACCGGTCGGTCTCCGGGCTGTAGCGCTCCACTGAGTTCAGAGACGACTTCCCGTCATAGCCGCCGCAAACGTAGATCATCCCATCGACCACCACGGTCCCCATAGCACTGAGGAACACACACTGATCAGGACTCATAATGCTGACTCAGGTCAGGGATCAGGATTCATAATGCTGACTCATGTCAGGACTCATAATGCTGACTCAGGGTTCAGGACTCATAATGCTGACTCAGGGTTCAGGACTCATAATGCTGACTCATCTCAGGGTTCAGGACTCATAATGCTGACTCATCTCAGGGTTCAGGACTCATAATGCTGACTCAGGGTTCAGGACTCATAATGCTGACTCAGGGTTCAGGACTCATAATGCTGACTCATCTCAGGGGTCAGGACTCATAATGCTGACTCATCTCAGGGTTCAGGACTCATAATGCTGACTCATCTCAGGGGTCAGGACTCATAATGCTGACTCATGTCAGGGTTCAGGACTCATAATGCTGACTCAGGTCAGGGTTCAGGACTCGTAATGCTGACTCATGTCAGGGTTCAGGACTCGTCAGGCTGACTCGTGTCAGGGTTCAGGACTCATAATGCTGACTCAGGGGTCAGGACTCATAATGCAGACTCAGGTCAGGGTTCAGGACTCATAATGCTGACTCATGTCAGGGTTTAGGACTCATAATGCTGACTCAGGGGTCAGGACTCATAATGCAGACTCATCTCAGGGGTCAGGACTCATAATGCTGACTCATCTCAGGGGTCAGGACTCATAATGCTGACTCAGGGGTCAGGACTCATAATGCAGACTTGTGTCAGGGTTCAGGACTCATAATGCTGACTCATGTCAGGGTTCAGGACTCATAATGCTGACTCATGTCAGGGTTCAGGACTCATAATGCTGACTCAGGGTTCAGGACTCATAATGCTGACTCAGGGGTCAGGACTCATAATGCAGACTCATCTCAGGGGTCAGGACTCATAATGCTGACTCATCTCAGGGGTCAGGACTCATAATGCTGACTCAGGGGTCAGGACTCATAATGCAGACTTGTGTCAGGGTTCAGGATTCATAATGCTGACTCAGGGGTCAGGACTCATAATGCAGACTCATCTCAGGGGTCAGGACTCATAATGCTGACTCAGGGGTCAGGACTCATAATGCTGACTCATCTCAGGGGTCAGGACTCATAATGCTGACTCAGGGGTCAGGACTCATAATGCTGACTCATCTCAGGGGTCAGGACTCATAATGCTGACTCAGGGGTCAGGACTCATAATGCTGACTCATCTCAGGGGTCAGGACTCATAATGCTGACTCAGGGCTCAGGACTCATAATGCAGACTCAGGGGTCAGGACTCATAATGCAGACTCAGGGGTCAGGACTCATAATGCAGACTCAGGGGTCAGGACTCATAATGCTGACTCAGGGGTCAGGACTCATAATGCTGACTCAGGGCTCAGGACTCATAATGCAGACTCGTGTCAGGGTTCAGGACTCATAATGCTGACTCAGGTCAGAATTCAGGACTCATCCTACAGGGTGACTTGGAGAGGGTCTGAGTCCGACCCTTGTCAATTAACTACGGGGGTCCCTCAGGGCTCTGTTCTTGGTCCCCTCCTCTTCTCCTTGTACACAAACTCGCTCGGATCAGTCATTAGCCCGCATGGTTTTTCTTACCACTGCTACGCTGACGACACCCAATTAATTCTGTCCTTTCCCCGCTCAGAGACCCAGGTCGTCGCACGCATCTCTGCTTGTCTAGCTGACATCTCTCAGTGGATGTCTGCTCACCACCTCAAGCTCAACCTTGACAAGACTGAGCTGCTCTTCCTCCCGGGAAAAGATTGTCCAACTCTTGACCTGACAATCAACATCGGCACCTCAGTTGTTTCCCCGACTCAGACTGCAAGGAATCTGGGTGTGACCCTAGATAACAACCTGTCCTTCACTGCAAACATCGCTGCTACAACCCGCTGCTGCAGATACACGCTTTACAACATCAGGAAGATACGTCCCCAGCTGACTCAGAAAGCGACTCAGGTTCTGGTCCAGGCTCTCGTCATCTCACGCCTAGACTACTGCAACTCCCTCCTGGCTGGTCTACCTGCATGTGCCATCCGACCTCTGCAGCTCATCCAGAATGCAGCGGCTCGCCTGGTTTTCAACCTTCCTAAATTCTCCCACACCACTCCGCTCCTCCGCTCCCTCCACTGGCTTCCGGTAACTGCTAGAATCCACTTCAAGACACTGGTACTTGCTTACCGTGCTGCGAATGGATCTGGCCCTTCCTACATCCAGGACATGGTTAAACCGTACACCCCAGCGCGTGCACTACGCTCTGCATCAGCCAAACGACTCGTTGCGCCCTCGCTGCGAGGGGGACCCAAGTTCCCATCGGCGAAAACACGTGGGTTTGCTATCCTGGCTCCAAGATGGTGGAATGAGCTCCCCATTGACATCAGGACGGCAGATAGCTTGCACATCTTCCGGCGCAAACTGAAAACTCATCTCTTTCGACTCCACTTCGAGCGTTAGAACGATTAACGAAGCACTTTTATACCAATAAAGGACTGGATTACCTAAAGGCAGTTGAGTAGCACTTGAAATGTTTGGCTCTATGAAACCTGATATACTTATATGATTCTGTTTTCTTCAAGGTTGTGTCTTCCTGGTCGAATGTACTTATTGTAAGTCGCTTTGGACAAAAGCGTCAGCTAAATGCAATGTAATGTAATGTAATGTAATGTAATGTAATGTAATGTAATGTAATGTAATAATGCTGACTCATGTCAGGGTTCAGGACTCATAATGCTGACTCATCTCAGGGGTCAGGAATCATAATGCTGACTCAGGTCAGGGTTCAGGACTCATAATGCAGACTCAGGTCAGGGTTCAGGACTCATAATGCCGACTCAGGTCAGGACTCATCATGCTGACTCAGGTCAGGGTTCAGGACTCATAATGCTGACTCAGGTCAGGGTTCAGGACTCATAATGCTGACTCAGGGGTCAGGACTCATAATGCAGACTCGTATCAGGGGTCAGGACTCATAATGCTGACTCAGGTCAGGACTCATAATGCTGACTCAGGTCAGGGTTCAGGACTCATAATGCTGACTCAGGTCAGGGTTCAGGACTCATAATGCTGACTCATGTCAGG